GAATACGGATACACACCTCGCTCGTCAACAGGACCGTGTCCTCATCCAGACTCAGCACCGCATCGGTTTCTATGGCAACATGTGGCAGGAACCGACTGGTGGTCTGCGGGAGCAACGCAGCTGTAAATCTTCAAAGCACCCGCGGGCTACTTTTTATTTGGCGTTGCGCTTTTTGTCAGATGAGGAGAATGAGTCAGAGATGATCTCGTTACGACGAATGAGCTTTCGCCAGGGCGGCGATAACAACATGAGAATGACTGACGGGAATGGAAATGAATGCCACTTGGGTTGATGGAGATGTCAAATTGAGAGATGGATATGAAGATGGATGATGGACGTCAAAATGAAGGGGCGCGTAAGGAAGGTACGTGGCCAAAAAAGTGACTGACAGTTTGTGTAACTGTCACTCAAGACGTGAGAGGAGTGCAAACAAACACTGACCTTCCTCTTGCCGTCTGTTACGGTGAGGGGGACGGGCATGGGAGGCCATTTGCTGCGACTGGGTGGCGCTTTCTCGCTGTTCCAGAGGATGATGATCTTGGCGCAGCAGAGAGACCAATGAAATGGATCAACAATCAGCCAGTAACCGTCGGCGACAAGGACAAAACTGTATTGCTTCCGCAGCAAACGGGAGCAGTAAACTGTAGTACAATTATAATTGCAATTGACCGTTTTACAAAAACAATCTGATGATAATATACTGAGGCGCATTGTTATTTCTTGATTAGGAAGTCCAATTATATGTTTTTGTTTGCTTGTGTTTCTGCACAAAAAAAAAAAAACAAGCAGAAATGATTTTTCTTTTCTCTGCACTTTTATGGCGGGTCAGGAACGATTCGAAATGCACGGGTACGTAAAGTCGACTTACTTGCGAGCAATATTTTGACTTGGAGACCACCTGAAGCAACTTCATGATTGGCTGAGACTGAGACACCAACGGAGAGACAGCGTGGATGATGGCAGTGAACTCCTGATTTGGACTGATGCCTTGAGCGAGAGACAAACATCTTTGATTCGTCAAACGTATCCACAGTAAGCCTGCTTGTCAAAGAGCTCCAAGGATTTGAAACATTATCAATAGTCGAACTCTATTATAAGATCCGATGTTGAAAAGGGTTCACTGTTAAGTGTTTGAAATGAATGAATTGAATCTTCAAGATATTTTTTTGTTTGTTGAAAAGGATTCCCGACTCGCATCGAAAACGACGCCAAAAAACAAGGGCTGATTTCTCTTGTCTACCAAAGCAGTTACGGTTCCAGAAATTAGACGACGAAGCCAGAAATTAGACGAAGAGTGTTTGCTTACCTAATCCCAGGTAGTAGAAAGGGAAATGCGCAAGATGAGTGGAATATTCTGGCAGGACAAGTAGACCTCCTGGGAGGGCGTTCCACATGTATTTGTTCCTTGATGTGTGAGAAAATACACGATCCTTAATGATCTGTGGAGGGAACATTGAGGGGAGATTAGAATTTATTGTCATAGTATGGTCAAGTTAAAAACATAATTCTTTCTTGGGATAAAAAAAAAAAAAATGAAGTGCACTATGATGCTGAAACCCTCCGAGATGCTGTCGAGTCAATCACATCGAATTTCCGCATCGCGAAAAGAACACCGACACGTAAACTACCGGAAGTTGATCCGCATCTCCAAAAGCCTCTGCTTCGGTCAGTAACATTCAGCAATACAACACCATCATTGGAATTCATCTTATTCAAGGAGAAATTGCCACCAATTTCAATGGTTTTTTTTTTTTTGGTTTGTTTGTGTTTACGCAACGAGCGTCACGCCGAACCACGTTGTGAACTGCAATTCTCATTTGCACCAGCAGGAGGGGTCCTTGAGGCGGCGTCTGTGGCGTCCCACGACGCTGCCCTGTGCGTCACTGACCTCAGGCTGACTGCACAGCTGTCTCCCACGGGGAGAGGTCCCCCAACCCCCACCCACCCCTCAGCTTGCTGTATGTATATAAGCAGCTTATCACCAACCTCCAGAACCTTTCCTTTATTATCTCAAGCATAAATCCCCAGCAGCAAACACACTGGGGGCAGCCAGACTTTGCTTTTATAAACATGGAAGTGCAAAAGGGAACACACGCACTGCTCACTGTGTGCTCTGTTCAAATTTCAGAAGAAAAATATTCTGTGCGTTGTCCGTGCTAAACAATAAACAACAAACGTCCTCGCTGGGATATGATCAGACGAATTGAGGGAAGGGAACCAAGTGGGCGGGGATTAAGGTGTCGTTTCTACTGGTTGATCAAAGTGAGAATGAGGCGGAATCAGACATGCTCTGACTGAGATTTGGAACTTAACGAGAAAGTATGTCATGTCTATACATAAAAGGGGTCTTTGAAACTGCAGGCATCTCAGGTGTATGCTGGAAAATGTGTCCCGCACCTAAAAAGCAAGAATAAAGTAAAATAGTGAAAGAAACGGATAGGAATTGGGAGCACGGATCAGAATCCAACTCTGTCATCGTAAGTCAAGTCAAGTAGTCAAGTACAACTTTATTGTCAAATGCGTTGTATGTGCAGAGGGGTCATTTGATTCAAACGGAAAATCTCGCCGGGAAACGCTGCTCCATAAGAAGCAATCGTGACAGCGCACGAGCAGTGAACAGCAGAGAGGTTTTTGTGTGAGCAAACGCAAAGAGCAAAGCGGTATTTTTTCAGTAGTTGGATGTTTCTTTTGGCAGACGTTTTTCACTGCAAATGAGAAGACACGATGCATTCCTTTAACGGACGCTAGTGGCGGTGGCCGACGTCTTACGAGATGAAATGCTTTCATGTTTTCAGCTTGGTTAAAAAGCAGCCACGAGAAGTTCAAAATAAAAACGTTCGTGTCAAAGTTCATGCCATCTTTTCCTTGTTGAACAAATTTGAAGATGTTTTTGTAATGGCCGTTGATTAATTATGTGACCCAAAAGCAACCAAAAATGAATTCAACTCCCAAAAAGGCAAGTCCAGGAAATAGTGTGAGCTTGAGAAGCGGGCGGCGTTCTGTGCCATCATCAAACGCGCCATCTCCTCGTGTTTTGGGAGTCAAAAGGGACGAGTTTTACCTCCAGTGTGGTGACGACGATCTTGTCCACGGAAGAGAAGTAGGCTTCCCACAGGATCTGCGTTCTCTGTCTGAGAGCCAAAACCCGCTCACTTGCCACAGCTCTCACTGTCGACGGCACCTTAAGAGAAACCATTTGACAAATGAGAAATCACCCAAAAAAAAACAATCAATGTGAGAGCAATTTTTTTTTATGATTGTTGAAAAAAAAAAGGATCAGACTCAACAAAGTTATGAGTGTTTACGTTTGACTATTTCTCGCTTTTAACTCCGCTAAACCATTTTAACTCATTCACTCCCAAAGACGTTTTTAAACGTCTTTTCAGACTTGGTCTAGAATTGGCTGGTACTGAATGAGTTTTAATAGCCAACTGTTCTTTTCTCATGAACACTAAGTGGGTATTTTTCCTCCCATGCCTCCTTTTTCTGCATTTCGCGGGGCCTTCCCTCTCTCCAATTAACTTTAAACGGTGTCATTTTCCTCCCGAGGTTCGCCTCGTCCTCAATTAGCCTCTCGTGCAAGAGCGTCACACTCATTCGCGTCGGGGTCACGGTGTCGGTGTCAATATTGTTGTGTTATCGGATGATGTGCCGCATTGCTGATGAGGTCGGGCTCTTTATGTGGTGTATTCGGAAACCCAATTAAGGATGTCTCCTCTCATCAAGACCTCTCCGGTCTCGTTTGGCTTCGTGCGCACGGCTCCATTTTATGTCCGCGACTTGGAAACAGTCCAAGCCACAGGGGAAAATGTCGCTTGTTGAGAGGGCGTCACTGCAGTGGCCGGGTATAAGGTGAGCTTTTTTCCTCTTTGAAACGGTAATTCATGCCTTCGTCACATCTCGACTGGATTACTGCACTGCAGTTAACTTTGGAGTCAGCCAATCCTCCACGAAGGGTCTCCAGTCGCTCCAAAATGCTGCTACTCGCCTCTTGACGGGTACTCGTAAGAGGGAGCACATCACTCTTATTCTGGCATCCCTTCGTTGGCTCTTTATACCTTTTAGAGTTCTTTTAAAGATGTTTTTTTTTAATCTTTAAACGGCTTCGCCCCACCTTAACTCTCTGAGCTCCTCCGTCCCTACGCACCTGCTTATGTACTAGAGTAATGAAAGTAAGCATTAAACATTCCACCTTGTTGGTAACATTTTGGGGGAGTTTGAAATCATGCCATGTTTCCTACTACGTATTCATCAGTCGCCTAAGGGAAAATTACACAAGCCTGCAAAATCAGCCCTGGGGAAAAGTTTCAAAATGCCGGGCAATTATGAAAGACATTTACAAAAACTGGGCCAAATGAATTCAAACAAGAGAATCTTTGGACCGTTTTAACTCATAGTCCGCATCAGAAACAAATGAGAATCTTTCATCCTCTACTTGGTTGAAAGCAGAAGTCACATGTGCTGTAACAAACCCATTTATCGACTTTGTAAACGTTGTCGAGACCTTTTCTGAACGTCACTTCAATTCGAACTGAACAATCGCCAACGCATGACTTTTCATACCGTACGGGTATCTGAAGAGGTGTTCGCCACACGGATCGGTCCGATGGCGCAACGCCGTGCGTGATTTCGTCTTACGACCATTACCTGTAACAGTAGCCGCTCATCTCCTTCAATGACGGCCTGGTTCCATTGTATGACGTCGGAAAATGGCAGCTCCCAGCCGTTGCTCAGCAACACAGGTATGCATGCCGCCTGGAAGCAGGATACCATCGTGAGAAACTGAGAAGTAAATCTGAAGATCGCAGATGGACTACGCGGTCACTGATTACTTTGTTAGAATGTTACGCAACACGGCGTCACCGTTAAGCTAGAAAATTCATCCGCTCACATACTTCCCTTGGTGGCCTTTTGACAAAATGGGGCCAACTGAAATGGATCTTTCCGAACAATTTTCACGTGTTTATGTTGAAAAAAAATATAGAGAGAGAGACTTTCAATCTTGAGGTGACATAATGCCGCGAAGCTCCCGCCGAATCAGGAAGAGGCGGAAGTCTCATGCAGTTGAAACGAGTTAACAGATCATTTTCGATGTGTGATATTTGTAAAAATAATAGACCACATAGGGGACGGCTATTTTTATCGATTTGTTCAGGGGGGAATGCGACTATGTTCAATATAAGGGAGTTCCGTTCGACAGCAGATTATGCTAGCATTAAGCTAGCAGACTTTTGTCAGACACTGTTTGGTTGAATATTTTGGTGTTGATGTATCGTCACCATCCATAAAAGGTCGCTGTTTCATTTGTTTCAGAATAAAAAGTGAACTAAATGGCGTAGTCACATTAGTCACCGCACAAGTTATCGGCTATTTATTGACCCGTGATAACATGCACAAACTCTGGATGTTTCCGCTCAGCTGCCAGTGCGTGACCCCGCCGAAAAGGGACACGGCGGTGAGTAATAACTTGCATTTCTTCTTTCCCACGATGCCCTGCAGGTTTTGTTGACGGACTTCCAACACACGCAAATGCGGCTGACCACGTTGACAGTGCTGCTGACTCCTAAGTTTACGAAGGAGCAATAGCCACTCGGGATAGAAACCAGGAGGGAGCTGCTTGCAGACTAAGGAGGAACCGCTTGAGACACGAAAGAGTTGTGCTTTATTGGAGTTGACTTTTGATGTTGCCTCATCCTTCGGACTCCCTGACAGCTTTTTTTGATGTTACTCTGCTTTTTAATTTTTTTTCCCCCACCTTCCCGGCCCTCCTCCAGTCTCTCCATTACCCCCCTGGGTTGTTTTTCATCTCTTGGTGCTCTTTTAATTAATTTCTGTCCAATCTGACTCCTCGATGTGATCTGCGGGCTTTATCGGTCACTTTATTTCTTTTAATTGCTTAGTTAAAGCACCAGAAAACAGCAACAGCAGCCAAACTAGTGACGAGCAAACATTCTCTCGCTCCCCCCCGCCCCCCACGCGTCTCCCACATGCGCATTTTATCCGAGAATAGACCTGCTGAAGGACAGTCTAACAAATGGGAATACTTGTGTTTACGTGTGTCAGAGGCAGGCCCTCGGCTACAAGGTTGCAGTGATAATCCAAATTCAATTTAGCTATCCAAAATGGAATGGCAGCCAGAGGCTTTTGTGAGTCCTCGGACCCGAGGAAAGAGCGGCCCTAACACCCCACGCGAGCCAAACCGGAGGGTGTGTGAAATAAAATGTTGTGGAGCTGTTTTTAGAAGGGAGCACACGTACCGTAAGCGTATGGGCGAGTTGGATTGTCTGTGTGTATTTTGGAAAAGCCGGCGTTACATGTCGAACCGCATTCGTAATTGCCGGTTCTTTGCGGGCTCGTTTGCTACAAAAACGAAGAAATTTAAAAAAAAAAAAAAAATCTTGAAAAGTGGTGTGAATGAGAAGAGAAACGTAGAGGACAGAAAGGCGAGACAGAAGGAGCGGGTGCGTGGTGCCAAGCCTTGTGGGTTGTGTGCAGAATTGTCCATTCAGCCTCAGTCTCACTCTCTCACACACCAAAGACACACACGCGCGCGCACACACACACACACACACACACACACACACACACACACACACACACACACACACACACACACGCACACACACTCACGGTGGGGCCAAGGGAGCACAACAGCAGCCAGGGGAGCTCGGCAATGAGCAAATCTAAAAACAGCCACTACTGTTTCCTGCGCCAGAACATCGACTTGGGTGGCAGAAGGAGAACTGCAGCATACACATTTACACTCACTCAATCCACTCCACACGGCTTCACGACAGTCGCTGCACGTCGTCGTCATCGTTGTCCCCTATGGACGGCAGCATAGGACGGCGGCGCTTGTTTATGGGCCCATTTCGATTTAAAAGGCTGGGTAAATTAACCCTGACGGCCACATTTCAATTCGGCACAGCGTAATGCTTTTGGAAAGGGCAATTTGCAGATGTGGCCATTAAAAAGGTGTCGACGGGCACTATAATACTATAGAAAGCAAAAGTGTGGAATGTTCATGATCTGCAACCTGTGTAGCTCCGGGTTTCATTCCGCTGCATATTAGCCGTACGTTACCGAAACGGTGCTTTTTGGCGGGTATGATGCTCATGATCAAAAATGGCTGTCAACAGTGATAGGTTTGCGTCGCATTGAAAACTTGCGCTAGCACAAGCGGAGAACAACCGGCACCGTGCGTCCTTGATAACGTACGCTCTATTTTTTTATTATTATTTTTTTTTGTATTTACCTGCAAGGACTCGAGGAAGCGGAAGGAGCCCAAGCGTCGTCCTCGAGGCACCAGACAAAAGGTGGAGTTGTGGAGTAGCTCCTGGTAGTCAAACCTAAAAAAAATTAAGAAAAAAAAAATTTAAAAAATCATTCATGAACAGAAAGGGTATCAATCGAAGAAAACTGCACAGCAACTCAAGTAAAACGAGCGCTCACGATATGGAAACGCTACCGCGGCGATGGCGGCCGCTTCTTTTGAGACATTATCCTTTACAACCTTCAAACGTCAACTAAAGCGGGGCTTTTGCGACGGAGTCAGAACGCTTCAGTTTACAGGATGTACAGTCATAAATCATCCCGGCTTTCTTTTTTTTTTTCCATCCATAGACATGTTGGCACCGCGATATGCACCGTGTTGTAAAAAGATTCGCATCGGCAACTATGGCCTATAGATTTGTTGCTGTTTAAAATTTTCCCTGCAGTGCCTCAGCAATACTTTACCTGCGGAGGGTGTGTGTGTGTGGGGGGGTGGGGGGGGGGTGGGGCATCAGCCCCTGCTCATATTTCATTGAGCTTCGATGTAAAAGAGCCACAATGCAAACCCGGTGCATCAATCATTCCGTCAACTGCTGCCAGCGACAGGTGCTTGCATATTGGGGTGTGCACACGCACACGCACACACACACACACACACACACACACACACACTATTTCTACTCCATGAAATCTGCACTCCAATCTTGCAAGAAATAAAATGAATTTGTCAATCAAATGTCAAGAGATTTCCTTTTTGTGAGCATGTGAATCCCGAAGATTCACCAAAAAAAAAAAAAAAAAGCCTGGGCAATTGTGCAGTTGCTTCTTTCTTCTCAGAATGTGTATGCAGTTAGTATAAGAAAATTAACAAAACGCGCATCCCCTGTTTGAGGATGACAAATGTGGTTAGGAAGGAGCCGCTTAGCCTGACCCACTTTTTGGTCTTTTTGTGGCTGTTTTTGTTTTGGTGCACACGATGCATGACCGGGGGCCAAATAGTGGATGCTGTGGCTTGTGTATGCGCGAAATATTCTTTAAAGAAGCTATATTGTCTCCGGGCGCCATGCGCTGCAGCTTCAACACGCAAGTAACGCCAAGTGTTCCTCGTTTGTGATGACAAGAGTAATATCGTATTTGCGAGTACGATAAAATTGCGTCGCCATCGGTATGTTTATCATCTTTGGAGGAACCAAATGAATGTCACTGCCGCAGACATTCATCCAGCTATTTTCTATCCCCCTCGACGATCCATTCGCGGTCACGAAGCCACCGGTCGGATGAGTCGACCACTTCACGCGATATTGCGATCGAGTTTTTTTGAATGTTGACGCGTTTCTGTCGCTTGGGCGCCGGTATCACAGAAGCAGACGCGGAGGCGGCGGCGCTCCCGCCACAAGACACACGCAGCACAGCGGGATTGCTCTATTAATGTCAAGGCATCGGGGCGCAGCGTGATACCAGACGACGTATCAAAGCTAGCGTGTGGCTGTCTGATAAGGAGCCTTCCCCTCTTTGGAGTATTTTAGCCATCTTGCCAATCTCTTCCGTTTGAACCTCCTTTGAGTTTCTTTTTTTTCCCCTTCTACACTTTTGTGGTTGATCTCGTTTGCATCGCGGTTTGCCACCCCTGACCCTTCTTGTCATGTTTACTCGCGTGACTGTTGAATGGCTATCGACCTGGGCATGAGGAAAGAGACGCAACGAAGGGGTGGGCACGATGGAAATATGTGATTGACAGCAGCTTCTGCTCGGTTGATCGTGATGTTTTTTTTCCAAAGGTCGAGGGTCAATAGGAAGTAAATGTGCTTGTGGGTTAATGAACTTCTTGTGTGTGTGTGTGTGTGTGTGTGTGTGTGTGTGTGTGTGTGTGTGTGTGTGTGTGTGTGTGTGTTTTGAGCATGAATTTAAGTGCGCGGTTGACCAAATGTATGGATTAACTGCCATCGTGCAGATCTCACACACACACACACACACACACACACACACACAATGCCATTGGCACCTTTAATTGAAATATGATTGACATATTTTGTGCCTACCCGACGTGCCTGACAAGCATGCAAACTTAAACATATTGAAATATGATTGACATATTTTGTGCCTACCCGACAACTTAAACATGAACAACACCTTATAAGGGTCGAATTAAAAAAAAAAAGAAAACGCAGCATACAGTTTGATAAGACATCTCAACACTTTTTTTTCCTCGCTATTAATTTATATTTGACCAAAAGCAAACAGTTTTTTTTTTGTCACATTGATGCCTAACCATAGCAACCATTCTCTCATTCCTCCTCCTCTTTTTCAAATCCCTCCAAACTCCTTTCATCTCTCTCATCTTCCTCACCTACATCTTCGACTTTCACCAATCTCAACATTCCTTAAACCGGAGGTGGGGAGGGGGCGAATTTGCATCCCGGTGCTTAATCCTATCCTGCAGCAGATGTAGGAAACCTCCTCCAATGGCAAAGCGACTGGCTGTTCTAGTCACAGATTGACGGATTAGCCACCTCCCCTCAATCACTCCTTCGTATCCGTCTTTCACTCCTCACTCTCTGCCACCTCATCTTTATTCTCGATCTTGTCACAAAACTAGAACGCAGACGTCACGTAGCTGAGAGAACAAATCCAGCGACACGCCTGGGGGCGGGAAGAAAAGAAAAACTCCAACAGTGATAAATATATTTTGTTTTGAACGCATTTGCGTTCACTTTATACATGACACCAAGATGACAGGAGAAGCCGTCCCACCGTTTTCTTCACTAAAACTCTCACAGGACAACGAAACGGCCAGCCCGACGTAATATCGATAACCAGAGAACGAATACAATTTTTTTTTCTTCCTGGAAAATATCAAGGTTATTATAGTTGAAGAAAAATGACCAAAAAAAAAAATAAATTGCAGTTTACGTTACACAATAATTACAGTCAACAAATACTTCATATTAAAAAATAAATAAATAAATAAATAAACTAAAACCAATTAACTAATAAAAAATACTAAAACTAATACTATAACTAATAGAAAAATAAAACAAGGCATATTACCCTCCCCCTGAAAAAAAATAAAAACTACCAAACTTGCGCTAAAAAAATAAAACAAAACAAAAAACTACAGACAACAAAATATGCTAAACTATTACAACCCGTGAACACATGCACTCACTTTTGGCCGCACTTCTGCAACTTGCACAGACAATCATCCCCTCCCATATCCCCTGTTCATGCACACAATCCCTCCTCGGCTGAGCCCATCCTCTTGTTCTTTGCCTCTTTGTCTTGATCGGCCTCTCTCCCGACGACTCCCGTTAATTACACGGCGAGCGAAGGGACTAAGCTCTCTAATCTGAAAAGATACGACCCCACAACCGGCTCATCCCTTAACACTGTTACTTATACCTCAATCCAGCGCTCGCACAGGCAAACTCGCACACATGCACGCAAGAGCCGCCGGCTAAATGCAAATATGCATGTAAGATGTTGGATGCATTTATTGTGAGGAACACACACCCCAAAAAAAAAAACCCAGCACCTTGAAAAAATTTTTGTTTTGCCTCAAAAAATGTTCACATACACGTCAGAATTGAAAACGTATCCCAGCATCCATTTGCTGCCAAATTTTGGAGCATTATGCAGATTACAGCAACATTAAATATTGTACTCCTAAGTAGTTCCAGCTAGGCTTACGAGAGTGCTTTTTTTTTTTGCCAAATCTATTTAAAGTTGATTTATTTTCATTTTAAAACCATTTTTTTCGTGTTCATCCAAGGTGATTACACATTGCATAAACAAAATATTCTGAACGCAGGCCCGAAAAACGAGGACAGAAAGCTGGCAGATTATTCTTATATATAACTAAAATAGTATGCATATTAATACAACGGTGCGCCCCATGGAATGGCTGTTGAGTGGGTGTGACAAGCCTCATCATGCGGTGTCGTTTAGTTATATATATATAGAAATGGGAGCACAGCTGTCTCTCCATTAGGCTAAAAGCACAGCCAGCACACCAACATGGGCCACGGCAGCCATCAAGCCCTTCGCAGCTCTTTTGACAATGGAAGAAAGAAGGCAAGAGGCGTTTGGAATATTTAGGAGATAGAGAGTTGATGGTTGAGGACATTTGGCGAGGTTGGAAGACAAAAAAAAAAAAATCGCTATGAAAAATAGGCCAACCTAAATGAAGAGACAAAAGACACAAAGCGCCAAACGACCGACACTTAAAAATGTTAGCGTTGACAAAATGTTTACCAACTTCAAGCACGTAACCATAAGATAAGAAAACCTTTATTTGTCTCACAATGGGAGAAATTCCCAATTTATGGCAGCAAAATTATGAAAGGGTGAAAGTAATGCTCCATGTAAAAATCGAATAGCTTCGGGTTTCGGTTTAGCTTGTTGGACTATAACACACACACACCTGTATATATGCTAGAAAAAGTTCACCGTTTTTTTTTTGGGACCATCTCCTCCAACATACATGTTGCATCTGCTTGCAAGTCAAGCGTGACTGATCTCAAATCAGGTTTTCTGCTTATAAATACAGAGCAAGGCGTCGACTCTGGACTCACTTTTCCATCTTTTTACCCCCCCACCACCCCACTCACTCACAGCAGGCACACAAGCCAAAACCTCGCTTTCATTTCCCGTTTCGACTGGATGCTGGGTCATGCCAGTGTTAACCCAATGTCTGAAGGGGACTCTGAAGTGGGAGTCTTCTCGTACTTTCCTCCATAATTTATGAAATAAGATAAGATGGAAAGAAGCGGGAGGGAAACAAGGACGGCTATAAGGTGAAAGGAGCAGTGAACATGCCTTAAGATGGTCTTTTGGGTGAGATAAAAAAGACGCCGTTTAGCTTCAACTTACACATCAATGACAAGTTTCGACTTCCACTCATAGTTTTGTGGAGCAGTGTACTAAAATTTTCGAGTTTATTTCAAAAAAATAAAAAAAATACATTATGTGTGAGTATGCACGGAAGCACGCGTGTTGGTTTCCTGGCAACCGCCAGATTGAGGTCCAAGTAATTGGACAAGCCAACTGGCAGCACACCGCGAATCCGTCGGAACAGCGG